TGGGTTTTTTTAATTTTTGAGTTATTTTTATTAGACTTATTTTAAAATATTACTTTTTAAAATAGGAATGTGGAGAAAAACAAGGTCAAGTTGAACGAGCCATCAGAGAAAAGAGAGCAGTGGAAGAAGAACTTGAAAAGGTAAGGCAACTGCATGCATTTTTATATCACGTTTAAGATCTCTTTGCAGAAGGAAAAGATGTATTGATTTTTCCCATTTCTCATGGTCTTTTTGTTCCCTTAACTTTCTTATTTTATTTTTTGAGTCGATTTTCCTGATTGTAAATTTTCCTGTAATTATTTTAATGTGGGAGGTTTTTTTCATCAGGAAAGCATTTTAAAGCTGGCATACTAGGCTCAAAAAGAGCATTCTTTGAGAAATGTAAAAAGTAAAAGGAGAGATGTTTGACATAACCAGAAAGAAGGTTGGTACATACCCCAGTTAAACGTAAGCTCAATAGTCAGAAAATAAAATGAATGCCAGATCTTTGAAAAAATTTTTTTCCAAGTAGCAGCAACATTGATAGGAATTCAGTTTTGTTTTAAATCAGCGGAAAATAGGACGCAGTAAGGAGTAGCCTCCTTGTCAGTACTACGCTGCTAATCACCAGTGCAGGGTAAAGATGATCTTAACGTGCAAGTTTATTCTTCAGGTTTACAGGGAAGACAGAGGACATGAATCTGACAGTAGAAAACTAGAGCAGCTGCATCAGAAATACTTACTTGCAGAAGCTACAAAAGGTGACCTTCAGCTGAGTCTACAGACAACACAAAATAAACTGAAACAACTGGAAATGAAGTGAGTAATGGACATTACAGAAATTGGAATGGAAAACAGTGGAAATAATTTCTGACTAAGTCAACTGTTGATTATGTGTTAGGTTTTTGTCACATCTTTTTAACCAGTAGCAGGAATAGTATCAAGATAGCATAATTCTGAAGCAGGGGCAATTAGGAATCGCTGCAAAAGAATTACAGAGGATAACGCATTATAGAATGAAAGATTTTCTTTACAAGATGAGGACTGCAAGCAGTTGTTTGACAAAAAAATGAAAATAGGAGTATGTTACGTAGAATCTTACTACATTTTTAAATACTTTTTGTAGGAAAAGTTTATGAAAAATTCAGGCAGAATTTATTACTTTGAAATCATCTACACAGTGGTATCTCCTAGCACGTGCAGAACACTATGTTTACATAGCATACTGAATTTCAGGTACAATATAGTGACATTTTTAGACTGGGTGGTTGTTTTCAGTATGAAAAGTGTAGGATTTTCTAGAAGCTTCAGTCATTTCTGTATTCTGATAATCATAAATCCTGTCACTTCACCAGAGCAATCCTCAGCTGGGAATCTGGAAATGTTATAAAAATGAAAATCTTGTTTCACACTGTCATTTTACTGAGATTGCTACAATATTAGATTGGCTTTATGAATTCCGTCATCTTGATAAAACTCTTTGCTGACTTGCGCATAGTTCTAGCTGTCAAGCCCATTAAACATGCTGAGCTGATACAAGCTTGCAGGAGGAAACAGGGGAGCAGCTGTACTGTGTCAGACCAAAGATCTGTCCCAATGTGTGTGTGTATATATATATATATTTTTTTTTTTTTTCTCCTCTAATACAGTAGTTGTTCAGCTCTTGAGTTCCAACAAGACTTTTCTGCTCTTTCAGCTCTGAGGAAGAGAAATCTCGTTGCCAGGAAGTTATCAGTAAATTGCAAAGCATTCTGGATTCAGAAAGGGAAAAAAGTGCCTTTGTCAGTGAACAAAGGCTAAAACTTCAGCAAGAGAATGAACAACTGCAAAAAGAAATGGAGGGTTTGAGAAAACTGGCCATAGAGGCTCGACAAAAAGCTAAAATAAAGGTATGGTTTACGTGTTATTTTTACTTTAACGCAAAACTGATATTTGCTTAATAAGGCAGCAGTTCTAAGAGAAAATCATTGACAGTTTAAATTAAGGATGAAGGTTTCAACAATGCTTCCTGGTTTCTGCTTGAAAGTAATTTTGTTGTAGCATTGTGTGTCCTCAGAATTTATTGGGTTATCAAACCTCTACTAATTAAATTGTATTTTAATAGGTATTAAATTTTGCTTGATAAGAAGATCGCAAATGTTCTTTGCTTTTTGTAAGACAAACAGATCAAATAATAACAGGTTTTCCTTCAAGTGATTTCACTTATTCCAGTTCCAGATCTTCATTTATCACTGTCTGTAATGTGTTAGGTATCTCTGTATGATTTTCAGTCCAGAGTGTTCCTCTATTTGTATGTCCACCATGTTGTCAGAGCAGTGTGTAGCTAATAAATGATTTAGTAGTGTGGTTGTCAAATATTGGTTTGGTATTTTCTGGACAGAGAACACTCTTCTATGTGAATAGATAACAAGATAATTAGTTGAAAGATGGATGTTCTTTTTGAATGTGTTCCATTAAATGCACCTGAACAGACTGCAGGTGGGGTGACGAATTAATAGTAACCTCAGCAGATCCATGGTACCTTTGGCTTCTGGAGGGAGTAACAGCTTTGATCCTTGGTGTGCTTTCTGGACATAGAAAGCTGGTACTTTCCCCTCTGCTCCTAACTGCAGGAGTGTAAAGATATTGAAAAGGGATCTAAGAATCTTAAGTTATGACTGACTCAAATCGGTTTCTGCTTTGCACCACAAGATAAAGGAAGCGGGCAAACGAAACAAGAAATGTTCCAACTCCAGAACCCTTTGGGCAAATGTAGTTTAAAAAGGAAGGATCAGAGTTTTGTAACAGAGGTAGTGGTTATAAAGCATATACCAGATCTTTAATCAGACAGGCTTCCATTATAGTCACAGATAAGATTTATTGCTTGTTTTCATTTTCCTCTGATGTACAAAGGATTTTAGGTGCAGTTAAGAAACTCCTAACACATTTTAGCTAGATGAAAAAGAACAAACGTGTTTCTGTGGAGAAAACACAAGGGAGAAGGATAAAGATTATTTACAAAAACAAGCATACACAGCTCATTATACTTTATTGTCAGTTGTACTATTTGCTTAAATTGGCTTTGGGAACATGTATCTATTTGAGCATATAATTACAAGTTTAATTATTGTATGTTACATGCTTTCAACAAATGTTTATAAATTTAACTTGTGTTGTAAAATAAAAGTAAGAAGTGAGAGACTTGATTGTACCCTATTTGTATTTTTTTTCTAGATAAGCACAATGGAGCATGAGCATGCTGTGAAAGAGCACGGCTACGAAGCTCGACTTAAGGAAATGGAAGACACCAGTCAAAAGTCTACTGCTGAACTTAGACGGCTGTTAGTGGCTCAGCAAAAAGCAACAAATCGGTGGAAAGAAGAAACAAAAAATCTTACTGAAACTACAGAAAACAGAATCAGTAAGCTAAAGTAAGTGCAATTTTGTTACTTTTCTGGAAGCTGTTACAGTTTTAGTTACCGTTAGGTGTCTGACAGTAGACCTGTGGTGAAAAACAATGAAGAGCAAACCATCCAGAGTAGAAGATGTGCCTCCAGCAAAACAAGAAAAGAAATGTGCAAAAGAGCTTTTGATGCTCTCTGTGAAGTAAAAATTACTGAAATTTTACTTAAGTAAAAATTTCACATCTTGTTGATGTGTGTGAATTTTGTAATGACAAAAAGTAAATGGAATATATTACTTTTAATTTTTGCTTTCCAGATACAGCACACGCAATTTAGAGAATTTTAGCTTTGGATTATGAAAACCTGTATATTTATAGCTATTCAGAACAGTCACCATAAAATCAGTTGTGGAGTGAGTCTCCAGACTTCTAAGATAAGCTGAAAAACCCTATTGGGACACACATCTAATGTTCTCTTCTGAGCAGTTGCTGTCATAAATGAGGATACAAATGACTTGTGTGATTGCCCTAAGCAAAAATATGATATAAACTTTACTTTTCTCTTAATTCATACAGGTTGCCAGGTAACTAGCTGACACTTGTATTCCCAGCACAGAATATAAGAATATTTTCAGTTTTGAAAGGGCGTAACAACAAGGACATCTCACGCAACAGACGCAGATACAGATTACGTATCAGTCCTAGATGCTGGGGAATACAAGCACCTATGGTGCCTGTGAGTCTGTATACAGACAGACATCAACTGCTTTAGAAAAGACAGTGGCATGCTTGGAAATGAGTAAGTAGAGAGGAAGTATCCCAGTGAGAAATTAGCAATTTGCAAGTTATGTTTGAAGTAAATTCTACAAACTTATCTTTGTTTTAAATGTGTACTGCTATAGATAGCATTTGCTTCTACTTGGATGTAAATATCCACTAAAAAATGTTAAGAATCCACACTGATCGGTTTATGAAATAAGCGGATATGGCATCTACATTCATCTTGGTTTTCCTTTTCAGTGTGTGGACACGTTGCACAGCGTTAAAATGTAAATGAATTGATCTGTGCACAGTGGGTTTGTAGTGTCTTTCCTTTTCTGGTATTGCCTTCCTCCACCTCAACTTCCTCGCATGTCTTGTATTTGGCTGGCAAGTAACAGCTGACTGCAGCTAGTCACGAGCTGACACACACACTCCTTACTCGCTCTGGTTAGCCAGCTGGCTGGTGCTTGCAGGAGGCCAAGTTTTAAATGGGCTTTCTCTCATGCTTTATTTGATTTCTAAGCTCAGGAAACTATGTCAGTTAGATCAAGTAGACTATAAATTAGAGATTAAATTAACCCGATATTTTTATAGAACTTCTTAGAAGTTTATGGCCTCAAGATGTCTTCCTTTTCAAAACTGGTTGAACATTGGAGGACATTGAAAGACTGGTACACAGTAACTTCTAAACTAGGAAGCCTGATTTCCTAAGTCTCATTTCTTTAAAATTGTTTCAGTGGTTTTTAGAAGAAAAATTCAGGGTATGCAGCTCTGTTAACATGAGAAATTTGAAATGACCCTTTAACTTCAGTCATTTAAAGTGTAGGATGTGCTCATGTATAGTTCTTTGCCCAGATTGATATTAGGAGTTGCTTGCTATCACGATAACAAGGAAGCAAATCTTTGGCGCCATTAAAATTGGAAACCTGTGAATTCTAGCTTTTATTTCCTTTGGAGTAATCTTTGGATTTTGTCATGTTTTATCATTATAATAGTTGATATATTCTCAGCTCAAACCATAATATTTCCAGTTTCCTATGCAATTTTTGGAGTCACAATTTTTTAAGCATAGCTTGACATTTCTTAGTTGTCAAAATGCCAACGGTGTAAGTGGAATTAGAAGCCAAGTTTTTAAACCCAAGCAAGGAAAATAAGTTCTTGAAAATGTTGCCTACAACAAATCTACCCTCCCACTACTCTAACTTGGTTTTCCATGTTCTTTTGAGAGAAGTATGTGAATTTTGACCTCTACTGAACTTTGCAAATAGCAGTCTTATACGTACTAGTTCTTCCCTTTGAAACTCATTTCATTCCTCTTTAAAGTGACGCGGTGTCGATCATGACTAGTTGTACCTATTGTCTGTCCAAATAGAGGGATGCTGTGAGTTCCATCCTTCTTGAAATACAAGAATGATTGATAAAACCTTTACTGATGACTAGCAGCTTCATTGGTCTGCTTTTGTTTTTTCAAGTGCTCCTTTTCTGAGTGCTTAAAACACTCCGTTGTAGTAGTGGATTGTTACTGATGATAACTAGTTCAGTTTAAATTTTTCAGATAGTTCAAAATCACACCAAATCCAATTGAAGAAAATATTTTTTGCCCATTTTTCTAGAAAAACAAGTCCTACATAATCACTCTGGTCATTTTTACCTCTCCGAAGTAAACAGCTGGGGTTTTTTTACCGTATCTGTCCAGATACAGGCTGGCTTTATTTTGCCTTAAAATACAGTGCATTTTGCAAAACCTACTCAGCAGTTCTTTAAACAGGCAAAAAGTCTCCTTCAGAAGAGAGCACAGTGTTGAGCCACATCTGTGAGTCGCTGACAGTTTTGGTGGTATAGCTTCACTGTATATAACTAGCTGGGTCTTAACACTTTTTTCACATCTTTTGTAAATGCAGTAACGAGAGAATAAAAATATTGTGTAGCTTTTCACACGAAGGTAGATTTAAGCTCTTAAACTTCTAGTTTCTTTTTTGTAAATGAACCTCCAAAAACTCTTTAACAGTTGAGCATCTAGGTTCGTAACTAGATCTTGAATGTAGTTCAGCAACTTCCAATGAAAAGGGAAAAATTGCAGACTTCCAAAACAATTAAAGTTGTCTGTGAAACAGCTGCTTTCCTTCTTAAAGCCTTAATGTTAAGTGTTAAGATGTTGTTATGGCGGACCAAAAGATTTAGACCTTATTTATCTGCAGCAAAATGCTGACATAGAAAATACAACAGACATGAGAGGAAGTCTGCCATGTGAATCTGTATGAGAAATAGGCAGTAAATTTTGAAAATGTCCCTGTTTATGTGAGAGGCTGCCTATGTGGCATCTTTTGGAAAACTCCTGCAATAATTTCACATCCTGTATCAGAGAATACTGCCTGATGAGCAGAATAGAAAAACTGTTCATCTCGCATTAAAAATTGTAAAATCTACACAAAGTCCACCTGATTCTCTGTGACTTCAGTAGATATTTCAGTGCAAGTCTAAAAGCCAGGTCAGTTACTTTTTAAGATGATTTCTTAGGTGATGCTTTTACGTATCATATAAGCGAGAAACAGGAATTTTTATCAGACATCTCCTCTACCTAACAAGGAAGGAAACAAGTTTGTTCTCTGCTAGAAGCTTGTAATTGAAACTGACATAAGAAATTTCATAATTAAATCTGTGTGGTGATGCTCTGATAGTACAGTGACAAGCAGCTATAGCAGAACCTATAAGTATTATCTAGAAAATGTGAAACTTATTTTAAAGCATACTTTTCACGGTATGTGCATGACCAGATACCTGGCTATGTAGCACAGAATGCAGTTGGTATGAAAATTAGCTCCCAAGTTACACAGTACTAGTTTATTCAATGCAAAGTCCTTGCTTATATTATAAATGAATAATTACCTTATTTATTTTAATTTTATACAATAACATTTTGAGTATTTTGAGTGCAAGTACAGAATGGCAAAGCATTTCCTACTTTGTTGTGAACTAAAATAAAGTTGCTGATTATTCAAAAAGCAACATGATTTTGCAGCAAATGCATTTATCATGGAAATATCAGCAAGACAGCTGAATAATAGACTGATACTGGGTAAGCAGGACCTATTGAATTAAAGGCTCTGTTTGAAAGTCCTCTTGAAGCTAATGCAGGAAATGGTGCCACCAGGCTTTATAGCGGATCCAAGTGAAAGGACAATGTTAACCCAGCTTTCCTGTGTACAGAATTTTTAAACTTAGGTGGTTCTGAGGGGGTTGGTTAAGCTGTGAGCTGGCAAGGAAAACTGAGTATCTTCCTTAGAAACTTCATCTTGTCATGACTGGGCGGTAAGGCTGTGAACTTAGATGAAGATATCAACATACCCTTCTTGGATGTAAATAGAGCGCTCTCCAAGTTTAGCAGCATATCATGTTATTTAGTGTATTTTGAGGACAGTCTGAGACATTCCATGGCACTTCATGAAGTTACTGTTTGATGTATCAGAATTCATGTAAATATATGAGCAAATACAGAGATTTTGTTGGTGACATGTAGCAGAATTTCAGGCTTTAATAAGAATTACTACTCTTACAGCAATGTGCTTTATAAGTGAATGCTTTTCAGGAAGTTATAAACTTGCTAACAAAGTCCTATGTGTATATACTGGGGAGGTGGTTTACATAAAAGCATTTTATATTGCATTTCCCCAGAAGTTTGCTGTTACTGCAGCTCTCGGAAGCATTGAGTCAGTGTCCCATTTGTTAGTGTAGGTGTTTCCCATTCCTTTGCCTTAAATTCATGATCTGTTGCTGTTTTTCAGTTCTATCCTCATTACTTTCATTTTCCATGTGAAGGTGTCTGAAACATTTTGGCTTCTTTACCAACTTCCCAGCAGCAGCTGCTAACTTTTCCATATTCTGTGCTGCTCATTTGTCATCTTGTAAATCTGCAGTGTTTTGTTTGTGAGGCAAAATACATATGCACAAAGGAAGCATTAAATACATACTTTTAAGAAATGAAGCCGCATCAGTGAACCCTAGGTGATGTTTAATTTTTAAAAAATTAAGAAGCAAAAGTAAATTTTTGACCTGTAACAGTAGAGCAGAGTGGTGATTTTTTTAAATGAAGTGAGAATCTGGCAGGTCAGCAAAAAACCTCTAGATAAAAATGTCCATAAATAAATTGCTACTTTCAGGCTTCGCTGAAAATGATTCTGTGCTTTCTTGGACATTCGGGTCTCAGTTCAAGTTAAAAATGTAATTGTTGCCTACAAAACGGAACTTGGAATTAAAAACCAGTATTGA